CGTGCTGGCTGGGCCTGAAATGGGGGTATCTACCAAATACTCCTGAGGAACAGACATCCTTATTGGATCTGTTCCATTTTGCTAGAATAATGACATTCATTGGACTAAAAAGAGGTGAAAATACACTCCAAGCTAAGGATCTGGCATTCTGGTGGATGTGGAAAAAGAGAGAATTCTAGGTTCTCATTCCTGGAAACTCATCTCATCTCAGTTATTACTTTTCCATAGGCAACAAGGCCAACTTCAAACTCCAAGAAGTTTGCCAACTAAATTCTGCTAATCTAGCTTTTCACAGATTTATATGCAACAAAACTACTTTCTACTATGGTAAAGTTGCCAGGTTAATATTACTTTCTCCCTTTTAATGTTTTTCCACACTGGCTGACACCATGTGCTGTTGTGGAAAGACATGTTAAGGAAGGCTGAAGTTTTGAGTCACTGCCTCCGAGTTACACAGAACCAGTAACAAATCACCTCTGTCTCGTCTTACTCTCCGAAGGATCCAACTGAGCAGCTACCAGCTTTTCTGTATGCATGTTCCAAACTGAAATAAACAGGCTCTTTTGCAAACAACCTAAATTCAGATCTCCCCATTAAAAGCAAAGGTATTCCACCAGCCTTAAACATTTGGCTCTCATTCACTTATACATACAAAATTCTAAATGGGCAAAACAGTCTCTAAATTCATGATGTAATTATTTTGGTTTGTCAGCAAGTAGGCCCTTACATTATGTTATTGTGCTATCACTTCATAAATCCAGTCACATAATGAAGAAAAGCCACACTTTACTTAATTTTGAGGGTTTCTCTTACGGTTAAAGACACCTACTTTTTTTTTTTTTTTTTTAAACTTATCTCTTCAACTTAGTGTTTCTTAGGCAGGGTTAGCTAGAGGGCAACTCAGATAAAAGTTTGAGGCTTTCTGACATGTAGAAAATGGGAATATTTTTCTGACAAATATATAAATGGAAAACACATTTTTGTGTTTGTGAAAATTTACCTTCCATAACTGTTACATTTACTTATTATAGTTCGAGTAGTTAGGGAAGGTTTAAAACCACCAAGCTTAAAATTTTGAAGTGTACATTCCAAGATGTTTGTCCTTCAAAAAAATATTGATATAATTATGGAATTTGGAGCTGTTTATACTTTCACTCAGCAATACTCTTAGAAGACAAAAAAAACCCCATCACATTGATTCTTTCTAAACCAAGTATTATCCACCTACTAGCTATCGCATTACGTCAGTGGTATCAGAAATCAACAGATAATATACAGCTCAAATTGATTTTACTTGCTAATTAAAAATAAAGTGCCTGCCACTCACACTCTAGGGTTCTTTGTTCTTCAACTTTGTTAAAGGGCTGTAATGCCCTGGGATCTTTTATTGAAGGGCAAAATAACTTGAGTAATGCAACACAAAATAAAATACTGCCTGAAAGGTCAACTACACTGAGAGTAAGAGGAAAGAGAATTTAAGCAAGCACAGTATTTTTTTATTTCACTTGGATTCCCAAAGGTAGAGAGAATGTCTCTAATAAATCTTGTGCCAAGCAAGAGTAACACAAAATCGGGCAATACAGAAAAAGTAATTTCTGTTATCTTGTCTGTGTTAAGCTAGAAAGGACAGTTCTAATTGCTGTATCCCACCAGTTCCACATACTTGCAGAAGAGGGAATTTTCATTTTTTTCCAACCTCACACACAAGAAAGAAGACAAAATACTGAACTATTTGGGGAAAGTTTGCCTTGGATGTACCAAATAAGGCACACGGTTTTCCATTGCAAGAGACTTGCTGCTTAACTGCTCTGAACCACTTCATTTACTGTGAGTGAAATTCATATATGCTGCGAAGCCAAGGGCTATTGATAACAGGTGGTATCTCAGTATGACGAGGTACTACAGCTTTAAGCATGTGATACTAAACCAATTGTGCATTGATATTCTTGCAGAACAGTTCACAAGAGGAAAGTTAGGAGCACAACATTTGTGTGGTCATGCTTAGGGCCATCTGTAAAAAATTGCATACCTTTCCCCATCAAATCCTAAGAGCAAAGCTGAACTTTTCTAAACCAGCCTGGGAGGACTACATCTACCTGTATAAAATCAAACAGGCCTGTTCCTTGGTCCTGAAGACAGGTGCCATAGCCCCTCTTGCAGCCATTTGGACAGATTCTATTCACTCCTTCGGAACAGGGACTGTTCCCAAAAGGCACATGCTACACCACTAGAGGTGTTTTCATGGAGAAGTGACAGTTGATGCTACCCAACATTGCATCAAGAGTCGCAACAGAGTGGACAATTATGGGACAACATCGCAAGCCTGCATCTATTTAGTTTGCTCATATAAAGTAGTCTAGCTGTCTGTAATTCTCAACAGAGCAGTGAGTGAGAAGAGCCATGCTAAGTTAAGCCATGGGAAAGGTAAAGAAATGGATCCCAGACTAACACTACACTGCCCTTCCACAATGCTGTGAAGCCCTCCAGAAAGTTTCACTGTTTCACTCCTAACTAGGAGACTTGCAAACTGTGTATGCATATTCATCTGCTTATCTCCCTCAGGTCCGTATTTCCACTGTTGTGAAGACCATTCAAGTATTCAAAATTAATTTCATAAACACATGCAAGCTTAAAAACGTACTAGTGTTCTGCGTTTTTGTACCCAACTGTTCTTCACATTAGTCCAAGTTCAATGTTGCAGATCATCTTTCCTGTCTTAAATGACATTTATTTTAGACAGAAGCTCAGGTCTCCACACAAAGGTTTAACTGCTTCCAGATACAACTTTTACTAAATATGTATGGACAGTCTTCCGTTGTGTTAATTTCCCCCCACAAATTTCCTTAATCAAACAAAAACTGGTTGCTCTGAGCAAAACTGAAGTCTTCTTCATTTTTACCAAAGTCAATTTTTCATTTTCAGTTATTTATTAAAAAAAAGTAAAGCATTAAAACAAGTAATCTAAAAAAATAGGAACAAAATCGCATAGAACATTCTAAAGTTTCTTCCCTTTCTGTTCTACAAATAAGCAAAATATACTATCAAAATTACATCCTGTTTTAAGAAAAGATATTTATCTAGCGGAATTAAAATAATGAAATGTAAATTGAAACAAATGCAGAGATCGTTTTGAATTAGACAAATGAAATACAAGATTTTACTGAACTGCTAATTTTTATGAGAAAAAAGAAAAGAAAAAATCTTATTAAAGATTAATTCAAATTAACTCCATTTAAAATATAGTGAACAATTTTATTTATGAAATGCTACTAGCACACAATACACATAGGAACTATGAAACTTGATTTATAAAGAAGTTCAATGCTTCATAGAAGCATGGATTCCTGTGGTATTCTGAATACAATCCCTCATTTACTGGAATTCACAACACAGCACCAATTGGCTTAAGCTGCAGAAAACTGGATACTTAATAAATACACAGTTAAGACATAGTTAAAAATACAAAGGGAAATGGAAACCAACTGGAACATTGTGCCTCACCAATACCAATAGACTTGGTCATGGTGAAAACTATCTTACATTGAAGGGCAGAAAGACCTGTTAAGACTGGGTTTCCAAATTTCACAGCCAATTCAAATGTATTGTTAGATACCTGCTTTCACCTAATTGTCCATGGCCACACATTGCGAAGTCCTCTTAACATAAGACACAAAACCATTGCTGTTTCTGGATAAACACATGGAAGGACTGATTACCTGGACAAGTATTATTACAATTAAAAAAAACCCCAAAAACCAGTATCAGTGTTAGGCGCTTTCACTTCTTTTTCTCTTTTTCTGCTTTCATTCTTTGCTGTAGTGTCTTCAGTTCAGTCATTACATTCAAAGTTCTGTAAACCCAGGTGACCTGAAAAGTAGTTAAATTTAATAATTTACTTAATCCACATACATTTACTTATCAATTTAACGAAAGCATCCATATAAATGAACACACACATACCACAATTATAATAGTATTCACCAGCAATGGTGCTGAAAATACTAGTGAAATAAACATTCCTCTTGAATCAAAGTATTGGTATTTAGAAAACAGCCTGAAAGAAATAAAATAAATAAAGAGGAAGCTTTATTCAGTGTAGTTCATATAACATTATACTTTCACAGAAACTATTCAACATGGACATTGTATAGATTACCCTAATTCTTGGGATCCCCCAGCACAGGACAGCATTCTACTGTATTAAGTCAGAACAAAGAAACGGTCAATATCTCATCAGTTATGAATATTTATTACAATAACCAGTCTTTCTTTTCTTTAAGGTTTTACTGCGCAAAACCTAAATAAAACAACCATAGATTAAGTAACTTAGTAATGTGACTACATTAGTACATATATTTGTACATCAGAAATCATGCTTATCCTAAAATGTCTGAAATTACTTTCTTAGGAATTTTGATTACTCGTATTACAAAAGATAACAGAAATAATAAATGTAGCAAAGCTGTAATTTAGGTCATGTATGCCTGAAGTGGAACATAAAGACTTACAATTAGATGCTTGCATAAAGTAGTGTTAAACACATAATTTCCAGTTACATCAGGGAAAAGTTAGTTCAGTGCTTATGAAAATAAGCCATCAGTGTAATTCTGGTACACAGGTTTAGTAAAACAGGCATATTTTAATGTTTTTATGCATATAAGTAAGTATATGCAGTAATAGTGATATTTTTGAGAGTGGTGCTTAACTTCAGCTTATTAAACATGAATAGCTAATAAAGAAAACCCACAAAACCAAAAAAAACCCCACCAAAGCTCACATCCTCTTCCCCTTGCCATCCCACTCTGCTTTTCTTTTAGTTCTCTGCCTAGTTAGTTTACAACCATCCATATAAACATAGATTTTAAGCAGTACAATAAATACATGCTAGCTATTAAAAACTATCTTTTCTTATAAGCTAGGTGGTAACTATGTTGTACTGTATGCTTTTGTTTAAAAGTTTTATATCAATCAATGCAAAAGATCCTCTGCCATCACATTCTACTGATGAGGCATGAGTGATTCTCTTTAAATTAATGCTTTCTGGGAATGATAAGAAAAAATAGAACATTTTTAGAAGAACATTAATTGAAATATGAAAATTAAAGTGAAAACATTTACCTCCAATTCATGGCTGCTAATTCATTTATATATTCAGCACAGTACACCAAGCCCACTGTACAATAAAAGAAAAACATTAGATTCAGTATTTCTTTAAAAATAAACTGCCATCAGTTCTGCCATGTATACTAAAGATATATACATGTTAGAGTTCCCTGATCCTCAGAAGATCAAATTACACATTTAATATTTAATTGCACAAAACCAATTCTGATTTAAATGTCCCATATAGTTACTAAGAAGTATAAACCGATCACAAAACATACCCACTATATTACAAACAAACAAACATGAAATCCTACTCATCTGAGCTTACAGAAAGAGCTCAGCATACAAATGAATTAAAAAAAGGGAAGAAGGGGAAAAAAAAAAAAAAAAAATCAGTATTTTTTCCAACAGTCTTCATGGTGACTGCTTCTAAGTTATGTCTGTAAAAAGAAATGCCAGCACTCCCCAGAGCTGGTATGGAATGGTATTAGACGTTATGGAGTCACACTGCTATAGCTAACATTACTATCTGAAGTTAGGGTACTAATTATATATAAGCATTTTGGTAAAATACAAACTTTGTTTGAATAGGTGCAGAGTAGTCTGCTGCAGTCAGGTGAAAACTAGCATATTCTTACTCAACAATTACTCACAATATGAAGCCATCAAGACAGTAAGAAAATTCAGTGCAATCACATGTTTAACAGAAAAGCAATACAACTACAAAATTTTAAGTTTGTCCTTGTATCATTTTCCACAAGAAATAAAGTAAAAAAAAAAAACCAACCAGATTCAGTGGCTAAAGATGACCTGCACAAGGCAATTAAATAACTAGTGTGGTGATATGAAGGAATGCTATTTTGTTTTGCTATCATCTGGATTACCTCTGTGTGGTACTGCACAGTATAAACATACCTATATCTGCTCAGCTGCCAAGGTAAACCAATGTGATAATTTCCTAATTTTCTCAGTTATTTCTGACTATGTACAATACAAAATTATTTATATTGCAGACACATCAAAAGTGGTTTAGTTTTTCAGGTACACACAAGGCTTGGACTCTTCTTGTTAACAGCAAGTTTACATCATATCTGGGTTAAAAGCAATGATCAGTTCCACTGCATTTTCCAATGCACTTAGACCTTGAGCATTCAAACTAGTGTTATTAACACCAGGAATACTTTAGATAAAGAGTCTGAAGTAAACAGCATGTCATTGGAAATTCTGAATGTCTAATATTAAATTTAAGAAAGAAAAGCCTGTATTCTTATAGAGAACTTTCAGGCCTAATGTGTCGTAAACAGGGCATTGTTATTGTGCCTTCTACAGATCATTTTAAACTCTGCAGTTACAAGTGGATGTACAGAAATTCCTAATGTCTAGATTCCTTTTTGGGGGTACTTAATGTTATTGAAATCTTAACTTTAGCTGAGTTATTTGCAGTTTTGAGGAAGCTATGCTTCCTCTCCTAACCTGACTAGTTCACTAAATGGTATTTTAAAAAGTCAACATAGTCTTCAAGTGGCTTTCTGCCTGCAAATCTCTTTCAATTGCTCATTCTTCCTGCAATCATAACAGAACTGTGAAAAAAAAACCCAGCCCACCAGAAAATCCAACTCATGGCTATAACTAAGGTACTGCTCACAATACACGGATCTAACCCAAACCTATGCCATCTTAATTAAACCAAATACCCTCTGCAAAGCTACTAGATCTTCATTCAGTCAGCTATAAGACACAGCTTTGGCTGGGCAAGGCCACTGTGGATTCTCAGGCTAAAGTCTGATAGACCCTGAAATAACGTAAACTGGTACTGCAATGTACCGAACCAGTCTTGCTCTTCCTCATGCCATTACCACAGCTGTCAGCAGGACATATGGTGAACATGCTCCAGAAATTAATCCCGCTGAAAGCTGACTATATTTACTGAACAGCAGCACTAGAATAAGGCAGAGCACAAAGGAACTATTGGCTCTCAGCCAATTTCTTTTCTGCTTCTCCAGCACAGCAACAATTTCCTGAGAAGCTGTGCACACACAGCTTTTACCATGCAGAAACCTTACTTATCCCAGATCCTCACTAAGGCCAGAGTTTTACGTCACTACCTCATGCAGTCTTGGAAACTAAATAAATACATATATATAGGTCATAGCAGCTTCTATAACAGTTTATCATGTATAGACACATCCATTACTACGACAGAAATACTAATTTGCACGCACTTTATCTTCTGCAAAGTATAAAACCATGTGCTGTGCAAGTACACGAAGAAAACGGCTATCATTAAGAGACTAAAAGAAGCTATTTGACAGTATTAGCAGCTTAAACAATGCACATGCCCTTTATCACCCGAATGCCAGCTCACGGAAGCATGAATACACGACTCACCCATGCAGAGGAAGTGCCCTATTTGCACCCGGTAGTGCTGGAAGGAGACGCACGTTAGGAGGAAGCAGAGGACGTGGAAACCCGCCAGCCCCACCAGCCAGGGCTCGGACCAGTCCGTCTTCTACGGAGAAAATGAAAGGAGATTAGACCATTGGCAGGAGAAGGAGTGTCACCAGGCAGCTAGAGCGAGCAGCTTTCCTCCTCCCGCACCTAAACGACAACCGATTTCAGTCACGGACCGCGCTCACCAGCCCGCCCCGTGCCAAGCTGGGGAAGGTGCGAGCACCCCCGCGCAGGCTTCCTCCCCGGACGGGCGCAGGCACACGCGGCAGC